AAATAATAAGTAGGCATCTTATGTTTCTGAACATAAACAGAAAACAATTTTAATACAAATTCTGTAGTAAATATTAAAAATCACATGCAACTTTATGTCATCTTGGCTAACTATTTAAGAATTTCCCTGATAAAAGAAGAAAATTTTATGTAGATGATTATGAAGATTAATGTCAAAAGACTAATGTGGTAACACTTCCCTAATGCCTGCAGTGCCCTGCTACAACCCATCTTTGAGTGACCAAAATAGCCTGGGATACCTCTTAAAAGCTCTTGTTATGTAGTCACTCATTTCACTCTAGGATTGAATCCTCCATAGGACACAACTTGTGCTTTCCCACATTTGTGGCCTTTTCACATCACAGGTACTAAATAAGTGATCACTGAGTTTAAGTTTAGCCCATCAGAAGTTAAACCAATAGCTTTATAAAATCAAACAACATTAATTTGCACTTAAACACTTTAATCCTATTTTATATACTTACCCATTATATCTGATTAACTAATTCTTTGTTTCAATTAAGTCAATAAGGAAAAGAATAAAAAAACACAATATATTCTGAAGTTTAAAAAAATCAGCCTAAATCTGGGGTGTGGCAGATGTAAATTAGAATTAATTCCATTACTCATTTATGTCTTCCAGGATAGCTTTTGTGAGGGAAAAATCTTTACAGCTCTATAAATTTTTCTTATTTATTCTTCACTCGTCTTTCTCTTCCTTTTCTGTCAAATATCTTTTTTTCTTACTTATGTAGATGATTTTTCCAAAATAAATGTGAAAAATTGTCCACCTTACTCTTATTCTGAAGAAATCTTCAATGTCAACTTATCTTAGATCATCAGGTTATGAAGAAAGTGGTAGCCATGGAAAACTCTCTCTTTGGCAGTAATTTTACAACACTGTAAAATGAATCATCCAGACCTATTTAAGCTTGGTCTAAGACTAGTATGGAATGAATGACACCGCACTGCCCTGTCCTGTTTGACATTTTGAGAAACACTGATCAACTTTAATGTTACTAATCATCCCCCTCTCTGGGTGGTATATTGGTGTGTCTTTTAGGTGTAGCAGTAAGAGGTGAGCAAGGTATTCCTGGCCCACCAGGCCCTGCAGGACCTCGAGGACACCCAGGTCCTTCTGGACCACCAGGAAAACCAGGCTATGGAAGTCCTGGACTCCAGGGAGAGCCAGGGTTGCCAGGACCACCAGGACCATCAGCTACCGGGAAACCAGGTGTGCCAGGACTCCCAGGAAAACCAGGGGAGAGAGGACCATACGGACCAAAAGGAGAAGTTGGACCGGCTGGTTTACCAGGACCACGGGGACCACCGGGGCCTCCTGGAATCCCTGGCCCCGCTGGAATTTCTGTGCCAGGAAAACCTGGACAACAAGGACCTGCAGGTGCCCCAGGACCCAGGGGCTTTCCTGGAGAAAAGGGTGTGCCAGGAGTCCCTGGTGTAAATGGACCGAAAGGAGAAACAGGGTATGGTGCTCCTGGCCGCCCAGGTGAGAGGGGCCTTCCAGGCCCTCAGGGTCCCATGGGACCACCTGGCCCTCCTGGAGTAGGAAAAAGAGGTGAAAATGGGTTTCCAGGACAGCCAGGCATCAAAGGTGATCGGGGTTTTCCAGGAGAAAGGGGACTGGCTGGCCCACCAGGTCCCCAAGGTCCTCCTGGAGAACGAGGACCAGAAGGCATTGGAAAGCCAGGAGCTGCTGGGGCTCCAGGTCAGCCAGGGATTCCAGGGGCAAAAGGTCACCCTGGGGCTCCAGGAATAGCTGGGCCACCAGGAGCTCCAGGCTTTGGGAAACCTGGTTTACCTGGTCTGAAGGGACAAAGAGGACCTGTTGGCCTTCCAGGGGGTCCAGGTGCCAAAGGGGAACAGGGGCCAGCAGGTCATCCTGGGGAGCCAGGTCTGACTGGACCTCCTGGAAATATGGGACCCCAAGGACCAAAAGGCATCCCAGGCAACCATGGTCTCCCAGGCCCTAAGGGTGAGACAGGGCCAGTTGGGCCTGCAGGACAACCTGGAGCCAGAGGAACAAGGGGTTCTCCCGGCTTAGATGGAAAACCAGGGTACCCAGGAGAACCAGGTCTCAGTGGTCCCAAGGGTAATCCAGGGTTACCAGGCCCAAAAGGTGACCGTGGAATGGTAGGACCTCCTGGTCTTCCGGGCCCTGTAGGCCCAGCAGGAGCTAAGGGAGTGCCTGGACACAATGGTGAGGCTGGTCCAAGAGGGGCTCCTGGAATACCAGGTACCAGAGGTCCCATTGGGCCACCAGGTATTCCAGGATTCCCTGGATCTAAAGGTGATCCTGGAAATCCAGGTCCTCCTGGTCCAGCTGGCATAGCAACTAAGGGCCTCAATGGACCCACTGGACCACCAGGGCCTCCAGGTCCAAGAGGCCACGATGGACAGCCTGGTCTCCCAGGGCCTCCAGGACCCCCTGGGCCCCCAGGCCAAGCAGTCATGCCCGAGGGCTTTATAAAGGCAGGACAAAGGCCCAGTCTTTCTGGGATGCCTCTTGTTAGTGCCAACCAGGGAGTAACAGGAATGCCTGTGTCTGCTTTTACTGTTATTCTCTCCAAAGCCTATCCAGCAATAGGTGCTCCCATCCCATTTGATAAGATTTTGTATAACAGGCAACAGCATTATGACCCAAGAACTGGAATCTTTACCTGTAGGATACCAGGAATATACTATTTCTCCTACCATGTGCATGTGAAAGGGACTCATGTTTGGGTAGGTCTATATAAGAATGGCACCCCCATAATGTACACCTATGATGAGTATACCAAAGGCTACCTGGATCAGGCTTCAGGGAGTGCCATAATCGATCTCACAGAAAATGACCAGGTGTGGCTCCAGCTGCCTAATGCCGAATCAAATGGCCTGTACTCCTCTGAGTATGTCCATTCCTCCTTCTCAGGATTCTTAGTGGCTCCCATGTGAGTACATTCTCATGGAGCTAACTAAATCTTCTGCTTGGAAAGGTGTTCCCTAACTCCATCCCACCCCACAAAACGCATACAGAGGTAGGCTGAAAATAATACAATTTTAATTTTCCAAAATACACATTTGAATTTTTAGACCAACTAATTTTCCCCTGGTAAATATAAGCAGCAATGGTAAATATGTGAAGATCCTCATGAGTTTCTAGTCAGCAATCCTAAGCCTCTTAAGAGATTCTCTGTGAACTCCTTCAATATTTAAAAATTTCTGCTGTTAAAACAAATTATCACACATAAATACCCAGAAATAGGCTTCTAAATTACATTAAATTTGGTTTCAGAAACTTAGTATTTCTTTTTAAAATAGCTTTATTCTAACAACTAATATGAGAGCTTTTAGGAAACATTTGGGAGGTACATAACTTAATAGAACTTAAATACTTGAATATTGAAATTCAAGACACTGTATACCCTAAGCTATTTCAGATGGTGCATAATATAAGGCTTATATGGCCCCTTTCATTAAGATTGATTCAAATATATAGGTGCATGTATGCTTTTTTGAAGCTCTCATAAGAAATCAAAATATTGTGCTAAAATGAAGGTGCTTTTGTTATGAACTTTTCAAACTTTTTTGGGATTGCAGAAGAGATTTTTAAATACCCAGTAAAACCTGGAACAGGTGTCTGACCTATTCTTATTTATTTAACACAAGCAATTGATTTGATTTGATCCCTTAACTGAGTCTTATGTAATATCATTGTGTGGGTTTAAATAACATTGGCAAATGGATCTTGTGCTTCTTATTCTGGTGAAATTATAATTAATGTCAAGCATTTCAAAATCTGCTAGAAATGAAAGACATTATTTATTTATGCTCTGTACTGTATTTTTATATTATTGTTTAAAACTTTTAAGCTGTGCATCACTAAAGCACAAAATATTTAATCTACTCATTTACAAAGCAATAAAATAACATTAAAAGATTTTTATGCTGAATTTACTTGAAAGTAACAATTTGCTATTTCATCCATGCTTTTAGGGCTATTCATTTTACAAAGTTAATGAAGAGAAAAGCAATAAAGTAATATGCAGCTTTTATGATTGTTATCAGTTATGTCCCTCTACTGAAGATGGGCATTCCATATCCCCGGAACTCAAAGTAGACTGAGAAGAGGCACCCACAAAACCACGTGAGGCCTAGAAGCCAGGGTCAAGGGCTAATAAGTGGGCACAGAGAAGTGGCAAAAGTCACCCCAAGGTAGAGCTTCTTTTCTGGGAGGCAAAGTGACAGGTGTCAGAGAAATATATAATTTGAAAAAATATTCTGCAATTACTATTTATTGCCTTGGCATGTTTTTTAGTCATAATACTTAAAATTATTTTGATGGCTTGATTTATATTGAAAGGAAGGCAAGCAATTTTTATATGTCAATCCAAAGGCAAGGATTTTAAGATGAAAAACACTGCTCTTCAGCATCCATCAGCCCACTAGTTGAATCAGGGCAGTGTGTTTCTAGTCACTGGGATGAAGTCATCTATTTATTCCTTAGAATTAGTCTTTGAGTAATGTGAGCAAATGTTCAAATTAAAACATAAAACCCCAGGCTCAAGGCTGGCCGAACCCCATTCTGGCCCCACCACTACTGTTCCTTAAGCAACAAGTATGGAATTTCCACTGGCAGATACTTTGCCCACCCATCTATAACTACTATGTTAAAGGTTGCAGGCATTACCAATCCTCACTCCCAAGCCAGAACACAGCAAAACTGGAATATTTCGTTCTAGGGAACGCACGGAATAACTCAATGTAAAAGAACAGCATAACGAAAGCACCTTCAATTTAGCACAACACTGGCAGGCATATGAAAGATACTTGAATATTGGCAATTATGACCAAGAAACAGACATGAATAAAAGAACCTCTTAAAACCAGAACTAACTTCACAGCAATATTTAAGATCAAATTAAATCCTCACTAAGGAGCATAGGAAAAGAGACGACTTCTATCTAATTCAGTAGACACACAGTATTTAACAAACATGTATCAGAAAGCCTCTCTTTGTTACTTACCCTTAAAAGCTGACATTTTAAAATTGTGTTGTATACCAGCGACTATATCCTTCCAAAAGTCAAATGTTTTTTGATCACTGTTCTGCTAAAAAAAAAAAAAAAAATCCATATGTAACAAATACAATAATTCTGTTTCTAAGCATAGTGGAAAGGGATGGCAATTATAATACTACTGGACTCTAAGGTAAGGATTTATGTTTTAGAAAACAATAGGTTAATAATGTTCTCTTCTACTTTGTGTTATTTTAGAAAGAGAACTCTTCCGTGAAAATTACTATACACACACATATACATATACAAATGTATATGACTAAATATTAATATAGCTCATGCAACCCAAAATATAAATTTTTATAAAGTCTAAAAGTCATAGAATATTTTAAACACATAAGCAAATTTAGAGTATAGTATGGTTTGAGATATCAGAATGTGTTACTTAACGTACTGTGCTATCAATGGAGCCAAGAAACCTGAAGCCCTAAGGCCTAGAAGCTGGTTATTTCAGATTTTGTTGATCCTGAATCTCAGTGTAAAAGAACAGCAAGTCATTATAGGAGAGATGAATTAGGTTCAATTCCAAATCGTAAGTCATTTTTATGAAGAATTTTTTTAATACAAATAAATATTACATTAAAAAACACACACTTCTAAAGCCCTTTGTTTCCTTGAAAACATTGACCAGTGTCTTATCTAAACAAATACTAGACATTTGTATACAATTAAACTATAAATTGCTTTACAACTGATACATTTTGGAACTGCAGCATAGCTGAGTGGTACAGTACCTGCCTCTCATGTGTGAGGCCCTGGGTTTGATCTCTAGTACCGCAAGGAAAAAAAAATTTGAAACATTTTGTTTGTGATAACTATAAAACACTGACTGGGGCTGGGGATGTGGCTCAGTGGTCGAGTGCCTGAGTTCAATCCCTGGTACCCCCCACCCAAAAAAAGCAAAAGATTTGAATACATCATTGCGATTTAGAAAGTGTATGCTAAAAGGAAAGCAACTCTGAAATGTAAACCCATTTACATCATAGGTTTTCATCTCAAAGTATGAATAGCTACTTCATCTTGATATGTAGTACAAAGCAAAAGTATGAATATATTAAACTGAGCTCAGAAAATGAATTTAAAAATTTCATCTTGCTGGGCACTGTGGTGCACACCTGTAATCCCAGTGACTCGGAAGGCTAAGACAGGAGGATTATGAGTTCAAAACCGGCCTCAGCTATTTAGTGAGGCCCTAGGTAACTTAGGGAAATGCTGTCTCAAAACAAAAAATGAAAAGGACTGGAAATGTGGCTCAGCAGTTAAGCACCCGTGGATTCAATCCCTGCAATAACAACAACAAAATCT